GTGGCGCTGGGGCAGGTTTTCTCCGAGTATTTCGGTTTCCCTGCCAATTTTCATTCCAGCGATTGCTCCACAATCACCTTCACCTATCATCTGGGGCTGGTACAATAGGCCAGAAGTGGCCGCAGTACAAGGGACTTAGTCCCACCTCACTAGCAATAAGAAAAAGAGAGATTTGCTGAACGAATGAATGAATGGGTGAATGCAGTCACTTACGGTAAGCAGCTTCATGTCTCCAGCGAGCGCCTAGCAAGACTCTGTAGATGGTCAATGCTAGAAGCCGGTCTTATTCCTACTTTTATACTGGCCACAGTCACTCTACCGGCAGCTTCACTTTCGCGCGCTGTTCTTTCTCTTCGCCTTGTTTAATCAGCCTCACGTGACAATGTCTAACACAAGGTGTACAAATTATTTCACTGCTTTTCCTCCTGAGGCAATAAAAATGTTTTAATTGCATTGTCTAAATTAACAGACGCGCTGGTCACAGTAGCCGAGCGGTCTAAGGCATGTATTGTCTTCTCTCGCTTGGAAGCCGGGATCGTGGGTTCGGATCTGTTTCCTGTGAGGTACGAACTGAATTCTTATATATTATTCTCATACACTGCCGGTCACAGTAGCCGAGCGGTCTAAGGCATGTATTGTCTTCTCTCGCTTGGAAACCGGGACCGTGGGTTCGAATCCCACTCAGGGCATGGATGTTTAGTTTGTGTGTGTGCGTTTTTCTGTGTTTGTGTACAGGTAGAGGCCTTGCGACGAGCTGATCACCCGCCCAAGGAGTCCTACCGAATGTGTAAGATCTAGAAAAACCGAAGTGAACGGAGAAGTTCGTGGAGGTAGGCCTAGGCCCACTGGGGCTGTAGTGCCAAGGAAGANCGAAAGTATTGATCTTTTTGAAAATATTTACCCATTTTTATCTAATGAGTCATAAATCTATGTAGTTTAAATTGGATTTCTGTAATAGCCTGCGTCTATTAATTTAGACAATGCAAATCAAACATTTTTATTAAGAGTACTATTATTATTATTATTATTATTATTATTGTTAAGAGTCTTATTAACTGAGTAAGAT